CAGACTTCCTTATCAGCATTTTAACCAACCCTGTAGCATCCTGCGCAGCAACTACAGGCGACCTCAGACCAAGAGCACAGAAATTAGTAACTCCCTCCCTCCCTGTTGCTTGCCCCAATTTTCAATGCCCCTCCAGAACCCATCTGTTTTTATACACTCTCTCATGCTCTCAATTATTTTAAAATTTTGCCCAGAGTTTATAGCTTTTATTCTTGACCCTGCCCTTTATAACGTGGCTCCTCTCCCACCAGCTTCTTTTCTTCTTTTATAATCGGCAATGGGAGAACAGAGAACTGTCAGCTGGCCTTTGCCAGTGAGAACCTGCTAGGCTCAAGCCCCATCTCTCTGGGAGGAGAGCCTGTAAGCGCTGAATCTCTGGTGTGAGCCCGGTACCACACTGGGCACTTCACATATGTTACCCGGTGTGATTCTCCGAATAACCTGCACAGTAGCCATTTTTTTTCTTAAACATGGAAATCAGATGATCTGTCTTGGCTGCTTAAAAACGTCCTCAATGGCCTTGGACTGGTAGTTCAGTTCATTGGAGCGTCATCTGTACACCAAAAGGTTGCAGGTTTGATCCCCGTTCAGGGCATGTGCCTATGCTGCAGGTTCAATCCCCAGTCGGGGCGCATATGGGAGGCAATGGATCAATGTTTCTCTCTCACATCAGTGTACCTCTCTCTCTCCCCTCCCTTCCTCTCTCCCTATTAATAAACATACCCTCTGGCGAGGATTTAAAAAAAAGTCTTCAATGGCTGTCTGCCTCTCTTGAAATGAATTGCGCATTCCTCACTCTGGCTACACAGCGGTTACTCTCGAGCAGCCCTTGCCCTTGTTGCTACTCGCGTTGCTTTCCTCCCTTCTCCCCGCTCCAGCCGCCCGCTCCCACGGGCCACGCTGGCTCTGCCAGGGCTCTTGCCGGGTTGTGCCGCAGCCTGGGAAGCTGTCTTCCCCTGATCCTCACGCGGCTGATTCGCTTTCGTCGTTAGCTCTCTGGCTGCATGTCACCTCCTCCAAAAGGCCGTTCCTTACCACCCTGTTTAACGTAGCCCCCCAGTCCCTGGATCTGGCGAGTGGCTTGCGAGTCTTTTCAGTCCCCCAGTCAACAGTCCAGGGAGATCCTGCGCTTCCACAAGACTCCTGTGAGTCCTCAAGGACTGAACCTGTGACCCGTCACCCTCAGGTTCCTTGTTGTGGGGGTGCTGGCCCTGTCTCAGAGCTCTGGTAACCTCGATGGGGAGTTATCTCTCTGTCACTGTCCCTTAAGCTGCTCACATTAAGTGTCCCAGGAGCTAAGTGACTGATGTACCTTTTGAGGGTCCCAGGGAGGAGGGAGGTCCTGCTGTTCAATTACTGGTCTCCAACTCCTTTCTCTCCCCTCCTCTGGCACTTAAAGGCAAAACAGTCTTTTCACTCAGAGCAGCTTCACCACTTACCCTGAAGTCTTGGCCCCTGTCTGTGACCGTGTCCTGGGGGACGGTTTCCTGTCTTAACTGGGGTGACTGACACCTTTTCTTAACAAAAGTTGTTCCCTCCAGCAGGGGGTTCTTTTCCTAGTTGCTAAGAGAAGGACAACATTTTACTGTCACAGTAAGAAGCATGGTTGTGATTTCAACCCAGACCTGCCCGTCTGAATTTAGAGCCAATACGTTCAAACCATAGCATCAGCCGCGACCCCCGCGTCTTCGCGCGGGCTGCTGAGGGCTCTCTGGGTCGCTCACACACATGTGCATGCACACATGTGCTTTCTTGCAGGGGAAATGCGTGGTTTTCTGGCCCATCTCAGAAGGTTGTTCTGAGGGTGGAATAACATTCCTTACAAGCCTGCCAAAGCTAGCCTCAGGGCATCTGGTCACCTGGTCCCAACCCTCAGCATGTTAGACGGCTGCACAGAGAGGGGACAGACCTCTGGACGCCAGGTAAATGCTCTTGGCACTGCCCAGAGCTGCTTCCTCACTTGCCTTCCTTCCTGTCCCGCTCACTGGTTTCCCCATGTTGCTGTGAGTGACCTTCACTCAGCCTGAGTGACCCCTTTCTCTGACAAAGGAGTGGAAAATCCACTATTCTAGCCCTTCCTTTCTACTCTCTCCCAGCTGATTACCTGTGTTCCACGGGCCGAAGGCCATGCAAGCTGTCCAGTTGTGGGGTCATGTGGGTGAGGTCGTCTTCACTTAGAAGGGTCAGGGCTGGGATACCTCTATGTGTCAGAAGGAGGAGGTCCTTCTCTCTCCCTCTCTAGCCAGACATCTGTCTATCTTGAAAGGACAGGCATAGCTCTCTTTAAAAATAGCTGAGTGCACCAGAGAAAAGTACTTCCGGTTCTGCATCACTAGGGTTTTCTGGCAAACTTTATGATGTCCCGGGATGGGGATATGACTTTGTATGTCGACTTCCAACTAGTTTTTCCGATTATCATATTAATCCTGAACTCCTGTGATGGACAAAACACACAAATAAACAAACAAACAACAGAAAAAGAAACGATGGCATTTTGTTCTATGTCCTTTAGGTCTTGGAATTGCGTAGTTCCCTGATTTTGACCCTGGCGCTGGCTAAGGACTTCCAAATCCCCTGCTGCCTGGGTGTGCTTTTCTGAACTCATTCCAACTCCGATGTCAGCCCGAACCCTGTCTCCCCTCCCTGTTCGCTCCGACCTCCACAAGCAAAGGTCCAGACCCGACCATGTTGTCATTCCTGTCATTCCTGAGCTGTGAGCTGGAACCCCTCAGTTTTGAGATCACGAGGGGTGGGGGAAAAAATTCCTGGATCAGGTGTCAGGAGCTCACAGCCCAGGAGGGACTGAAGCATGAAGCCCCGGCCCCCTGCGGAGGGGTAAGGGCAGGCAAAGCGCTGGTCAGGGCCTGGGGCCCTTACCTGCCTGAGTGCCTGCCTGGCCACTGTGGTGGCTGATGTCACTGTGCAATTTAAAGTGCTTTGGGCACAGGTAACAGAAACCAATATCTGCTACCTCTGGCTTTCATAAACAAAAAGGGGAATACCCAGATTTCCATGGATGGATGCACGCGCAAACACGGTGCGGAGCACACTTGCTGTGGAGTGTTACTCAGCTTTAAAAAGGAAAGAGCTTCTGTCATGGCGTAACGTGGGTGGGCCTTAAAGACACAGACTGAAATAAGCCAGTCACAGAAGGACAAATACTGTATGATTCCATTTGTATGCGGTAACTAGAGAAGTCAAGGTCATAGAGACAGGAAGGAGAGTAGCGGTTACTCGGGGCTGGGGAGCGCGGAAAGGGATGTATTGTTTCATGGGCACAGAGTTTCAGTTTTGATTAATGAAAAAGCCCTGGAGAGAGACAGTGGTGATGGCTGTACAACCATGTAAAGTACTTAATGCTGCTGAATTGCATACTTAAAAATTTTAAGTGAACACTCCATCCTCCCCTGAAATTTTTACACCTAAAAGTGGTTAAGTATATTTTACCAGGCACCAACCAGAATTGACCTAAACCAACAAAAATTATTCCAGAGGTGTTAAATGTCACCTCGGCCCTTCTGGAATGGGAAGGGAAAAAAAGAAGAAAAGAAAGGGGAGAATGTTGGGGCATCTCAGTGGACTGAAAGACTAGCTAAACCTCCAAACCTCCACACCTTGAGTGGGGACGGGAAACAGGGCAGCTCCGGGGACCTTAGGGCCAGAGTTCACAGACTTCTTCCCTTGGGAGGCTGCTCCAGCAGCAGCCTGACACTCCCTGGGGTCCAAATTTCACCTCTGGGAGAGAGAGTCTGCTGGGCCGGTGCGGTCCGGTGGCCCGCTGGGTAGACCGCTTCAGCCCGGTGGGGCCGCAGGCTCGTGCGTTACCCCTGGGGACCACTAGAGGCAGTCACAGTCCGCTCACCAGAACTCAAGTCCTTGAATGGCCCGTTTTTAGAACGATTACTTTTCCAAGTTTATTTGCATCTCTTAATTGCCTGCTTTTGTTTTGTCTTCACCACAGCATTTTGGGGGACCATTGACTTTTGTCCTAGTTGCTTCCTGCTGTGGAGCTGGAGGCAGAACGTTCGCCGGGAGAGGGGATTGAATATGTGTGTTTGGCCTCAGTGCCTTGTAAACTCTACAGTCCCGCTCTTGACAAAATTCTCAGATGAAGGCTGAGAGGCTTCTGAAAAAAACTGAGATATTTTTTTTCTTCCACCCTAAGCAGAAAGGTGGCAGAGAGTTAGGAATCAAGTTGACAATAAAGGAAATTTTCTTTATTGAATGGTTGAGTTTTGGACCAGCTCAGTTGAATGCCCTTTCCCTGCCCCAAAAAGCTTAGTGTAGGAGCTAGAGACTCTCACCTCTCCTTTTGTTTCTGCCTCTTCTGTACCCCCGCGACCTGGGGGGGAGGCCAGAGGCCCCCGGGGATCCAGCTAAGCCTCAGCAAAAGGGACAAAGACCATTACCTGGCCAGCTAAGAAAAAGGTATGGGCTTTTTATTCTTTTAATTTTTTTCCCATCACTATGTATTGCCCCTATACCCTCTTCTGCCTCCACCCACCCCTGACGCCTGTGGGTTTTTTAAATGGTTTTTATGAGTGTGTGTTTGAGCCAAACTGGTGACATATGCATGGGAACAAGATCTCAAATGTTCCCAGAAGTTATGTTTTGAAATTTAGAAGAAGAAGAAGAAGGAGGAGGAGGAGGAGGAGGAGGAGGAGGAGGAGGAAGAGGAGGAGAAGGAGGAGGAAAGAAGGAAGAAGGAAGGAGGAGGAAGGAGGAGGAAGGAGGAGGAAGGAGGAGGAAGGAGGAAGAAGAAGGAGGAAGAAGAAGAAGAAATAATCTAGAAATCAGATCAGGATGGACAGGAAATGTCAAGAGTTCTGTCGGGCCCCTCATGAGCCAGAGGCCAGAGACGGCCTGACCGGCTGGACGCGGGATGTAGTTACTCACCGTGGCTGCTGTGCTCGTGTGAGGTGAGGCATCGAAGGCAAGGAGAAGGATGTGAAGCGTGTTTTGCAAGGAAAATAAGAATTGCACAGAAAAACACCCTTAACTTTGGCATTTCCTCCAGAGAGCGAGAAACTATTTAAAAGACCTTTATTTTTTGGATCGCTGGCTCGTTTCTCTGAATGGGACTCTGTCATTCAGACCGCAGCGCTGCCCTCCTTTTGCATAGGGTCACCTCTCTTTCCTGAGCCCGGGCCCCCATGGGGGCCCGGTTGTCGTGAGGAGCTGAGGCGCTGGGCTAGAGCTTTCTATGAGTGGGTGGGTTTAACTGGGCCCCCCTCCTGGGGGGAAGCAAAGGCAGGTTGGGATCCTTGAGGTAATCTTGGACCCATTCGTTGCTGGGGTTGGTGCATATCTCTCGGTTCTTTTTGGTGATGAAGCTGTGAAGGCAAAGTTAGACTCTCAGGGGTCTTGGAGTAGCACGGGGTCCAGTTCACACTCCCCCACTTCTGGCTCACACTGGGCTAACCGAGGCCTCCCAGTCTTGGTCCCATCAGAGCGCGCCCCCCTCTGGCTTCTAGGCCTTATCGACTCTTTTTTTCAGCCCCTTCCCCACTCCGCCTAGACCCTCCAGGCAAGGGCTTTGTTATGGGCGCCCTCTATCGGGTCACACAGCGATAAGCCGGGAAATCAAGATTGAAACCCAGGTCTGTCCTGTGAGATTCAAGGCCCTGAGTCACTACTCTCCTCCTTCTGGCATGGAGGCTTCTTGGTTCCGTGCACTCATGCCGGTCCCCAGCCCCGCTACGTCCCCCACGGAGAGATCCGTGGGGAGTGCTTACATGACTGCTGGCAGGTGACAGTTGAGGGCCTTTCTGTATCCGACCACCAGCTTCCGTGGTAATACTTTCTTCTGATACTTCAGACAGCAGGTCTGCGGGAGGCTCACCGACTCAAATATTTCTGCAGGAATCGCATTGAAAACTGACCAAGGAGGCAGGCAGGGAGCCCGCGACCTCCCCCTCCCATCCGCTGCGTTTCACTCCTTTGACGGCAAAGCCATCTGTTAGCAGGGACTGATCGCAGCTGGTGGCAAAGCTTGGGACCTCTCAAGAGCATCAGTTGGCCGATCCATGTTTTGGGTGGACCATTTTCTCTTACTTGAAGCCTGGACCCATGTCCCGGGCCTGCTTGACCTTCCCACAGGGCACTGTTGTCCCCTTCTGCCCACCATATGCACCTCTGCACACAGTGACGTTTATGTCCTTGGTTCTCAAAGCAAAGTTTATAAAGACTGGGGAATCCTGAGACTGAGTACACGACCCTTGCTCCCCCAAATGTTTATCCAGGCATAGTTGGGCTTGGCTGCATGCCAGGGTGGCCTTAGGGAGCACAGAAGGGCTGGGCCAGCGGGAGGCCGGCATGTGGAAGGACTGAGTGACTTGGTCCCTCCCCTGTCACCAGGTCCCCCTAAGTGATGGTAGGGGCAGGGGTAGGGAGTGGGGGGAAAAAAGCCTTGTTCTCCGTGGCTCCCAAGCACCCCGCAGCTCTAGAACCTGTCAACCTTTTCCTCTTTCCAACGGACTTTATTTAGGTCTAGGCTTGGTGAGGAAACCCCAAATGGCACACTTGGGTGACCCATGGGGACTCCTTTTGGCTGCCATGATAGTCCCAGCAATCCGTGCCAGGCACTGTCAGGAACCGGCGTCTAGGTTCGGACTCCACACCCCTGAGCTTAGCCCCGAGAACCTCTTCAACCCGCACCCCCAGTACCCGTGTCCTGCTCTCCTGGGAACCAGGCTGTCTTCATCCACCTGCCTTGCCTGCCTCTTCCTCGCCTGCATATGTTTATTGTTGTTTCTCCTGTTAATTCCTTGGTTCCTCTTCCTCGGGACTTCAGCCTAACCTTAACCCAGTGCCCCGGAGCTGCTCAGCCCTAGAAGGATCAGGACCACAGCCCAGCTCTCCTTACAAAGGGGAGAGTTTAAAGATAGCAGCTGAGCATGCAGGAGGGGAGAGGCCCCTGGGAAGGATAGAGATCTGCAAGCTCTCTGGGCGTTTCATACCCACCCCGCCCCGCCCCTCCGCTGCCCACTGTCCCCTCCCCCTTATTGTTGCCCTACAGGAACAGGGGGACTCACTTGTCTGGCTCTGAGAAACAGAAGCAATGGTGAGGATGAGGATGAGGAGGAAGGGGGCAGCCGTAGAGGCCTTCATCCTCTCTGTGGGGCAGTTCAGCCTCAGCGGAGGGCTGAGTGAAGGTGTTTTTCTTGCTTCTGGTCTTTCCCTCTGTGACCTCTTAGCTCTCCGGACTCTGACCACTTCACAGCAGGTGGAGGAAGAGAAAAAAATGGGCCTCCCTCCAGGTTTGCTGAAAGGGAGGGCGGCGGGGAGCAGGGCCTAGTGCAAAGTTGAATTCGGTAAGATTTGAATTCCTGTGAAGGGAAGACTGGAGAAAGGGAATACGTGGCGAACGCGTGCTGTGTATCAGCCACCTTGCAAATCCTATTTTATTTACTCCTCAAGATGTGAAGTAGAGGTTATTATTCCTGTTTTACAAATGAGGCCATTGAAACTGAGAGGGCTTCAATAAATTGGCCACGGTCGCGCGGGTAGGAGACTGATACGCACGCAGTGCTGGAGACCAGATCCATGTGATTTCACCACCTTACCTGCCAACATCTGTATTTTGGAGAAGAGGAAAGGAGGGCCGAATGCCCCTTTTCCCAGGTGATCCGTCATTGGGAGGATTAGAGAGAGCACAGACTGAGGCAAGGACAGAGTTTGGTGGTCTCAAAATGAGGTCCCCCCCATCCGCAGTCCAAGCACACAGGATTGAGTTTGCTTTTTCATGCCACAGATTATGCTAATTAATACTCCAAAAAGACAGTGTACCCTGTCCTTGTGTTTTTGTTTTTTTGTCGCGGTGTTTGGCTCATTTGCCGCTGCGCTCAGTTATCTCTTTGGACCTTGGACGCGAAACCAGCTTTAGATCTGTTGGCTGATTCAGCCTGCCAGCGTGGCCAATGTGACCAGCAGAGGGCGCTCTAACACCGCGAGCCTGGCAACCTACGCCGAGTCCCAAGTTCCAGCTTCCGCCCGTCGCCTTTGGCTAAGGCTGGACCAGCCCCTCAGCATCTTCTCTCTTCAGACTGCCCCAGGACCCTGCGCCAGGTTGAAGGCAGCATTCAAGAAGAGATGGAATATATAGGGGATTTTGCTGTTGATGGATCCTGAGCTCTAGAGGCACGAGGGAGTGTTTCAGGAAATGAGAGTAGAGGGGGGCAGGGGCAGAACAGGGAATGCAGAGTCTCTCATGGGGCTTGTTGTTTGGCGTGACTGCTCATAAACAAGGAAAAATATATAATGCAACTTGTCCTGGTGGGTTCAAGGCAGTCAGTGGTCGTGAAGCTGTGGCTTTTTATGAAGGTAAGGAGGCTACGTATGTGGGGTACCCCCTCGACTTCTGTTTAAGGATGCAAGGAGGTCTGAAGAAGCCTGGTTATACCTGTAGCACGCAGGCCCCCTCTTGGCCCTTGTCTGTGGAGGGCTGGACGCCAGGGAAGAGTGGCCACGGTTCCTACACTGGGCATGCTCCGAGTACGTAGAGCTCCTCCTTGAACCCCAAGGCAGGTCTGAGAGCCTTTGGGAACAGCTGGATGTGATCCTTGGAGCATAAGCCTCCTCTTCCTTCCTTCCATCCATCCATCCACTATCCATCCATCCATCCATCCATCCATCCATCCATCCATCCCTCCATCCGTTTCCTGAGCACCTGGTATGGCCTAGGCTTTCTGCTAGGCCCCTGTGGGAGACGCAAAAATGAGTAAAACAATATAGTACAAGCTGATATATGTAAGTGGGTGGGGAAGGGTTGGATAAAACATGCCCGTGAATCATTCCAGTCCCAGGAAGCAGTGAACAGAGGCCGTGGGAGCAGCACAGAGGAAAAGAACATGGCGTTTGCTACAGAGAGGCCTGTATGAAGGTTTACCTGCAAAATCAGGTGATAATTCTTAGCTTTACACTTGTAAAGGTTAAATAAAATAATGCACATAGAAGGCACTGAAAAAAACTGTATCTGTTACTTATTACTGTTATTACTGTGATTATTTATTGGGAAAAGGCAGCCTGCACACCAAGGGTCTTTATCACTTTTTTTTTAAGATTTTATTTATTTATTTTTAGAGAGCAGGGAGAGAGAAAGAGAGGGAAAGATACATCAATGCGTAGTTGTCTCTTGCCTACTGGGGACCTGGCCCACAACCCAGGCACCTACCCTGACTGGGAATTGAACCAGCGACCCTTTGGTTTGCAGGCCAGTGCGCAATCCACTGAGCCACACCAGCCAGGGTTCTTTATTGCTTTCTGCCCACCTTCCCACTGCCCATTGCCTGGGCCTGATCCATTTTTTTGCAGCAGACTCTGGCCAAACTGCCACAAAGCAAGGTTGGATGCTGAGGGTGCCACCCTGGGCTGGTCTTATCAATGTCTCAGTGCTAATGGGTGATTTCAGTAGAGATGAATGAGGGCAGAGAGACATGACTGATCGTTTATTCAAGGCAGGGCAGCTCCCAGGAGGCAGCTGGGCTGAGAGTTGGGAGCAAATGGTGGGGGGAGGGGGGAGAGTTAGCTGGGGGTGGGGGGTCTTGGCTTCCTCTCTTTAAGATTCTGGGTTGTGACCTTCCCCATGACTTCTGGGTCACTCAGATCTACCCCAGCTCCTTGATGTGGTTCTGGGCCCGGTCATCGCTGGGGCCGGCACTGAGGGAATGGCCCTTTTTGAAGATGAAGCTATGGAATGAGAGGGGTTATGAGCCAGGGGCCGAGCAGCCAGGAAGGAGAGCTTGTCCTCCGTCCCTCAGAAACCCCTCACCTGGCCTAGAGGTAGCCCAAGGCCAGTTTCCTTTCTGAGACAGACACTTCAGCCCCTCAGGGCCCCTAAACCCACCTAGCCTCCCTGCCCCCACCCAGGAAGCACCTTTCTGCTTTCTCTTCCCCTCCCTTAATGCCTCCCCATCCTCAGGGCCAGCTTCCTCCTGGCTCCCAGCAGGCCCCAGGGAGGCCAGAAAGCACTCAGGTGGCCCCAAGCTTCCTCTCCCCATCACACACCTGAGAGGCACCCTGGGGAGTCCCCATTCTGCAACCTGTCCCCCACCCCCACCCCCATGCCCCAGTGTGGCATGCGGGGGCCACCCACACAGCTCCAGGCTAGAAGCACTGGCTGCCAGCCCCAGAGTGATGTGTGACCTGTTGGTGCAGGATGGTGTGGGAGGCGTAGGTGAAGCAGTGCCCTGTGGCATGGTCAGGTCTTCCTGAGGAGAAAGCACGAGGGAGCTGAAACTGGGTCCCTAGTTCAAGGCGATACCCGAAGGGAGGAAGAGGGAGGGAAGGAGGAGACAACCCTGCAGAACGCGGAGACGCGGCTGTGGAGGGACACAGTCCGCTGTCTCCCTCTCCACGCTGTGCCTCTGGCTCCTCCTCTCCTCCTCTTCATCAGCAATCACCCTGCTTCCTGTCCATCGCCCTCCCAGAAAGACCGCTGGGCTGATGGCTTCCGCTTCAGCCTGAAGGGCCGCAAAGCTCGGGTTGGCCCAGTGAGCACAGGCCATCCCTGGGCGGCTGGCTGGAGAGACACTCCGCAAAAGTCCCCCTAGGGATAGGGGCCTGTGCCATTTGGGAATACAGGTCCAGCCCCTCGCAGTCCCCCCATCCTGCAAAGAGGGAAGGGCACCCAGAATCTAACCCACCTTGTCTTTGCTGCTTTGGGCCCGCCCCCGCTCTGCTCCCCTCTCAGCTTCCCCAGTGAGGCTGTGGGGCTGGAGGTCTATGTGGGGCTGCCTGGGGCTCTGCGGGACTCAGGGACCGACTATCTTGGCAGTACCAATACCTTTGAGAGTGGAGTCTTAAGGATAGGCCCCATTCAACCCTTTTTTCTGCTTACCATTCTGGGTCTCTGCGTAAGATTTTGCTTGAAGAAAAGGTTTTGTGGTCTAAAAGTTGTTTTTATTTTTATTTTTTTAATCACTGGTTTAGATGATATTTCAGTTATTTTCTGATTCTGAAATTTCCTGGCTCCTTACAGGAGTTACGAGGGGGTGACAGCAAAGCCACACTGAGCTTGAATTATGGACACAGCAGGGAAAGCATTTCCGACCACGGGTGTTTCAAACAAGCACGCAAGGCGCTGGCGCAGTGGAGTGATTTGGGATGTGCCTGTTATGTGACCAACCTGGACAGAAATGCAAGTGGGCATCTCATGGCCTCAGGGGCCGTCGGGGGCAGCTGGGCGCTTGGGTGGAGATGGGAAGGCCTGGTCCTCCACCCAGCGCCTTTCCAGGCAGCACCCTCGCTCTCTGAGGATGGGTCCAGGGGTCCCCATGCCGAGCCCCATCCCCCCTGCGTTCCCCTGAGTTGATGGATGCCCTTTCGGGGAGGCAAACCATGCTGTCCTGGTCCCCACCAACTTGAGACCAGTTGTGCTTCAACGACCTCCTGTGTCCCCCCATCCCTCCTCCCCCCGTTTCCAAAAAGAAAACAAGGTGAAGTTGAAGGGTGAAGAACAGTTTGGTCATCTGTAAAAGCAGCTTATCCTAAATGAGCTTGAAAAACATGACTTAGGGGGACCCCTCGCCCCTGTCGCGTTCCGCGAAGGCCATATTGACTGGTGCCACACGGGCCCGGAAGCAGGCCGGGCCCACATCGCAGGACGCAAATAGTACAGCCTTGAGGGGCACCAAGCACCGCTCCTCGGTCTCTCTGGGGAAAATGCCCCGCAAATGGGGGGGGCACTTTTCTGAGGGGGTGGAGAAGCAGGCTGGCCTCACCCCACGGCCTTGGTGGGAAGGGGGGCGGGTCCTGGGGAAGGCGGCCATGAAACCTGTTCAAGAAAACACCAGGTCTCTTAGTAGGGCCCCTCCCCTCCCATCCCCGGGGGTACTGACCTGAGGAGGATTGAATCTCCGTAGGCCAGGGCGATAGAGGCGAGGATGAGGAGGATGAGGATGCAGAGAACGGCAGCCTGGGAGAACGTCATTCTCCTCCGACTATGTGACTGGGGAAAGGCGGCTGGCCTGGTAGGGGTTTTTAAGGCTCCTGGGCTCCAGAAATGTTGAGAAATGATTATCTAAGCAAAATACTTTTTAAAATAAGAGAACTAGGATTTCAAAGGTAAGTAGAGCGTGGTGGTTGCCTCAGCACTTTCGCATCCGGCGCCTGTGTTGAGGGTGGAGTGAAGGAAGCACCGGGAGCCAAGGTTTCAGGAGGGAAGTTGCCTTCTCTCCCCAGTGGGAGTGTTTGTCCCTTTGGCCTAATCCCTCCATGAGC